CTGTTCTAGTGTTCTAACGTTCTAATGTTCTCCTGTTCTAATGTTCCAGTGTTCTAATGTTCTAACATTCTAGTGTTCTAACGTTCTAACTTTCTACTGTTCTAGTGTTCTAACGTTCTCCTGTTCTAACGTTCTAGTGTTCTAGTATTCTAATGTTCTAGCGTTCTAGTATTCTAACGTTCTAATGTTCTAGCGTTCTAGTATTCTAACGTTCTACTGTTCTAGTATTCTAACGTTCTAATGTTCTAACGTTCTCCTGTTCTAACGTTCCAACTTTCTACTGTTCTACTGTTCTCCTGTTCTAACGTTCTAATGTTCTAGTGTTGTAGTGTAGTTTATAGTGAGACTCCATGTCCCATAATCCTCTGCTCTGTAGTTTCCTGGACGTGTGTTTTGTTTCTTCCACATGTTCAGCACTTGTCGTTTATTTGGACAAAACAAAACAGAACAGACGGTAAAACACCAAACAATCTCCGGGGCGTTTGCTTGTTTGTTTGTTTGTTTGCTTGTTTGTTTGTTTGTTTGTTGCTTGTTTGTTTGTCTGAGTCACTGAACAGACCAGGCTTTTATTTGAGACCAGCCGCAGTTTGGGGCAGGAGATTCATTCCTTTGTCATAAAAATCCTGCTCAGAAAAACTCAGAGAAAATATGGAACTCAAACTATTTTAGATTTATATTTACAGTTTGTTTTGTTCTGTTTTTAGTCCTGGTTCAGTCCAAACATGTGAATGAAACAAAACACAAGTCCAGCTCTGTTTGTGAGGAGGAACATCTGAGCATTAGAACATGAGAACATCAGAACCTTAGAACCTGAGGACCCAGATGAAGGTTCTCTGTGGTCTGTTGAAGCACACGAGTCTGACGAGTCTGAGGAGTTTGAGGGTTGTACTTACAGCAGGGGTGATGATGTTTTCCACACTGATTCCAACGTAAATGAGACGTTCTTTCCTAAAAAAAAAAAAAAAAAAAGACACAAAAACTTCAGGATTAAACAGGAAACAGAAGCAGAAGTATTTTCAGTTTTCTGCAGGTGGATCATTTCAGTTTGGATTTTTATTTTTAACGAGGAGTCAGACAGACACTGAGGATTTCATCAACCAAGTGTCTTTTTTTTCACAGTCCAACTGTTTTTGTCACATGCAGAAATAAAATTCTGAGTTGATTTCATAAATGTGACTCTGGTCTTTCACACGGAGCCACGGGGAAAACGATGATCTGCCGAGTTCTTTGTGGCTCCGGGTTTTTTCTTTCCAAACGGCTCCAGGAGGATTCAAGGCTCCGCCGCTTTAAACGCTCTTTCAACTAAATAAAGGTCAAATAAAGTTTTTCTCTCGTGTTTTTCTTTGTCTCTTTAGTGCAGGTTTGGTCTGGTGCACTTCACGGTTGCTGCGGTAACGTTTATGGAATTCCCCGATGTGACGTCACGAAATCCAACCAGGAAGAAGAATTTTTTTTAAATGCAGAAACAAACTGACCAAACTCTTGAATAAAATCTTAATCTTAACTCGGTGGATTATTGGTCTGATGTAAACCGAGAAGCGCAGAGGAAAGGAACTCGGAACCAAATCTGACACAGAAGCTCTCGGACTTCATGTGTTCTGTGCACGCTCCTCCTTTTAAATCAATCAATAAAATAATAAAAAATAATAATAATAAATAAATATATATAAAAATAAATACAAAAACAAATAATAACAATAATTATAATAAAATAATAATTAAATAAATATATATGAAAATAAATAAATAAATATAACAATAATAATAATAATAATGATGAGGTTGTTGTGGTGAATGTGGCGCTCCTCACCTCAATAAATAAAATAAAATAATAATAATAATAACAATAATAATAAATAAATAAATAAAAATAAATAAATATATAAATAAATCCTCACCTCCTTTCCGCTCGCTCCTTCTTCTTCAGAGCCGTGTCCAGGTTTTGCAGAGCCTCGTCCAACTTGTCACACAGTTGTTTCTAAAGAGAACAGGAAACAGGGCGTCAGGGGGCGTCAGGGGCGTCAGGGGGCGTCAGGGGCGTCAGGGGCGTCAGGGGGCGTCAGGGGCGTCAGGGGGCGTCAGGGGGCGGGCGTCAGGGGGCGTCAGGGGCGTCAGGGGCGTCAGGGGGCGTCAGGGGGCGTCAGGGGGCGTCAGGGGCGTCAGGGGGGGCGTCAGGGGCGTCAGGGGGCGTCAGGGGGCGTCAGGGGGCGTCAGGGGGTCAGGGGGCATCAGGGGGCGTCAGGGGGCGTCAGGGGGCGTCAGGGGCGTCAGGGGCGTCAGGGGGCAGTCAGGGGGCATCAGGGGCGTCAGGGGGCAGTCAGGGGCGTCAGGGGGCATCAGTCAGGGGGCGTCAGGGGCGTCAGGGGCGTCAGGGGGCGTCAGGGGCGTCAGGGGGCGTCAGGGGGCGTCAGGGGCGTCAGGGGCGTCAGGGGCATCAGGGGCGTCAGGGGCAGGGTCAGGGGTCAGGGGGCGTCAGGGGCGTCAGGGGGCGTCAGGGGCAGGGGCGTCAGGGGCGTCAGGGGCAGTCAGGGGCGTCAGGGCGTCAGGGGCGTCAGGGGGCGTCAGGGGGCATCAGGGGGGGGGCGTCAGGGGGCGTCAGGGGCGTCAGGGGTCAGGGGCGTCAGGGGCGTCATCAGGGGCGTCAGGGGCGTCAGGGGGTCAGGGGTCAGGGGGGCATCAGGGGGCATCAGGGGGCATCAGGGGGCGTCAGGGGGGCATCAGGGGCGTCAGGGGCAGCGTCAGGGGCTCAGGGGCGTCAGGGGCGTCAGGGGGCGTCAGGGGCGTCAGGGGGCATCAGGGGGCATCAGGGGGCATCAGGGGCAGGGCGTCAGGGGGCATCAAGGGGGCATCAGGGGGCATCAGGGGCGTCAGGGGCATCAGGGGGCGTCAGGGGCAGGGGCGTCAGGGGGCGTCAGGGGGCATCAGGGGGCGTCAGGGGCGTCAGGGGCATCAGGGGCATCAGGGGGCGTCAGGGGCGTCAGGGGCGTCAGGGGGTCAGGGGCAGGGGGCAGGGGGGCATCAGGGGCGTCAGGGGCATCAGGGGCGTCAGGGGGGGGGCGTCAGGGGCGGGGCGTCAGGGGCGTCAGGGGCATCAGGGGCATCAGGGGGCATCAGGGGCGTCAGGGGCGTCAGGGGCGTCAGGGGCATCAGTCAGGGGGCGTCAGGGGCGTCAGGGGCGTCAGGGGGCAGGGGCGTCAGGGGGCATCAGGGGCGTCAGGGGGCATCAGGGGCGTCAGGGGCGTCAGGGGCATCAGAGGGCGTCAGGGGCGTCAGGGGGGCGTCAGGGGCGTCAGGGGCATCAGGGGCGTCAGGGGCGTCAGGGGGCGTCAGGGGCGTCAGGGGGCGTCAGGGGGGCGTCAGGGGGCGTCAGGGGGCGTCAGGGGCCATCAGGGGGCGTCAGGGGCGTCAGGGGCATCAGGGGCGTCAGGGGGTCAGGGGCGTCAGGGGCGTCAGGGGCGTCAGGGGCAGGGCTCAGGGGTCAGGGGCGTCAGGGCGTCAGGGGGCGTCAGGGGGCGTCAGGGGGCGTCAGGGGGCGTCAGGGGCGTCAGGGGCGTCAGGGGCGTCAGGGGCGTCAGGGGCGTCAGGGGCGTCAGGGGCGTCAGGGGCGTCAGGGGCGTCAGGGGCGTCAGGGGCGTCAGGGGCGTCAGGGGCGTCAGGGGGCGTCAGGGGGGGAGGCGTCAGGGGGCATCAGGGGCATCAGGGGCGTCAGGGGGCGTCAGGGGGCATCAGGGGGCATCAGGGGCGTCAGGGGCGTCATCAGGGGCATCAGGGGGCATCAGGGGGCATCAGGGGGCGTCAGGGACGTCAGGGGCATCAGGGGGCATCAGGGGCATCAGGGGCATCAGGGGCATCAGGGGCGTCAGGGGCGTCAGGGGGCAGGGGCATCAGGGGCGTCAGGGGCGTCAGGGGGCATCAGGGGGCATCAGGGCGTCAGGGGCGTCAGGGGGCATAAGGGGGCATCAGGGGGCATCAGAGGGCGTCAGGGGCATCAGGGGCGTCAGGGGGCGTCAGGGGCGTCAGGGGGCATCAGGGGGCGTCAGGGGCATCAGGGGCATCAGGGGGCATCAGGGGGCGTCAGGGGGTCATCAGGCATCAGGGGCATCAAGGGGGCATCAGGGGGCGTCAGGGCGTCAGGGGCGGGGCATCAGGGGGCATCAGGGGCGTCAGTCAGGGGGCATCAGAGGGCGTCAGGGGCAGTCAGGGGCATCAGGGGCGTCAGGGGCATCAGGGGCGTCAGGGGGCATCAGGGGGCGTCAGGGGGCATCAGGGGGCATCAGGGGGCATCAGGGGGTCAGGGGCATCAGGGGCAGGGGTCAGGGGGCGTCAGGGGCATCAGGGGCGTCAGGGGCATCAGGGGCATTCAGGGGGCATCAGGGGCAGGGGCATCAGGGGGGCATCAGGGGGTCAGGGGGCGTCAGGGGGCATCAGGGGCGTTCAGGGGGGCATCAGAGGGCGTCAGGGCGGCGTCAGGGGCATCAGGGGCGTCAGGGGCGGGGCGTCAGGGGGCATCAGGGCGTCAGGGGCATCAGGGGCGTCAGGGGGGCATCAGGGCGTCAGGGGGCATCAGGGGGCGTCAGGGGCATCAGGGGGCATCAGGGGCGTCAGGGGCGTCAGGGGCATCAGGGGCGTCAGGGGGCATCAGGGGGCGTCAGGGGCATCAGGGGCGTCAGGGGGGGGCGTCAGGGCGTCAGGGGGGGGGCATCAGGGGCGTCAGGGGGCATCAGGGGCAGGGGCAGGGGGCGTCAGGGGCGTCAGGGGCGTCAGGGGCGTCAGGGGGCATCAGGGGCGTCAGGGGCATCAGGGGGCGTCAGGGGGGGGGCATTCAGGGGCGTCAGGGGCATCAGGGGCATCAGGGGCTCAGGGGCTCAGGGGCATCAGGGGCATCAGGGGCATCAGGGGCGTCATCAGGGGCATCAGGGGCGTTCAGGGCGTCACAGGGGCGTCATTCATGCTTTTAGTGTAAAATCAAACTCCTCGAAAGGACAATCTGTGTGTTGTTC